GAACACAAAACTGCCAAGCCTGTGACCCACAAGCCCTACCTGCTTTCCAGGCCTAATGTGTACCCTCATCAGCACCCCCTTCCTTGGTTTTTAGGGACTGCCCTTGCCTGCTCCCCACTCACTGCCTTGGAAGCTGGCATCCTCAGTGATCTGTATAGGGAGAAAGACTTCCTGCTCCATCCAAGACAGATGTGGGGATGTAGCGAGCCTCAGAGAATGAGGACAAGGTGTGAGTCCAGCAGAAAGGAAGGGGACCGTATAACACTTGGGGACAATCTGGACATCTGCTAGGAAGATGATTTCATCTCTGTAATCATACCCACTTGGTCTGTAGTATGCGCACGTGCATGAGTGTGAATGGAGACCAAAGGTTTGCCTCAGATGTTGTTCCTCAGGCCCTGCCCACCTTATTTTTTGTGACAAGGTCTCTCTCTGGCTTGGACCTTGCCCCATAGGCTAGGCTGGCTACAGACCCCAGGGATTAGCCTGTCTCCGCGTCCCCAGCCCTGATACTGCAAGGGCACATCAGCACATCTGGTTTTTTGCTTGTTTGCTTATTTGTTTTTGCACATGGGGTCTCACATGAACCAAGATCCTCGTGCTTTTGTTGACGCACACTATACCAACTGAGCTGTCTTCCCAGCCTGGGTTTTATTTTTCAACTGTTTATCACAGGGTCTCGCAATGTAGCTCTGGCTGACCTGGAACTTGCTGTGTAGACCAGGCTGACCGCAAACTCACAGAGCTCCATCTGCCTGTGCCTTGTGAGTGCTGGGATTTCAGGTCCCCCCCCGACAGAAATGCTGGGGATCCACCCCAAGTCTAAGTAAATGGTGTCCTACCCAGCAACATCTACAGTCCTTGTCATAGAACCTGTGATGGCTTCAGAAGTAAGCTGTGGCCTGTTTAAGACTGAGAGTGAGTGATGGGCCAGCTGTGATGCTGAAACCCGATCTTCGGAGCAGGTGACATCTGGCCTTTCTTAGGAGATTTCATCAAACTAGATGCTTCAGAGTGCCCCATGAGCATCCACACCAGGCTCCGTGGCAATGTCTTGTCAGTTTTTTTTCCCCCAGGGAAGCAGGATGAGTTCATGTGTGTCAAATCCTATAGCCAGCTGGCTTACCTCCACGTCTGTGACATCTCTTAAATAACACAGTCACCAAAGAGATACTCACATTAAGGACAAGAGTCTTCTGTGGGGCGGGGTGGAGGGAAGGGTTCCTTCCTGCTAACGGGGTGCCGCCTCTGATGAGTTCTGTGACCCTGGGCACAGCACCTGCTTCCTCAGGGTCTGTTTTCTCAGCTACCAGGCAGGACAGTGGACTGAGTTACCGCTCCCATCTATCCACCATGATGCAGGTTTCCTAGTTTGTTTGTTTGTTTGTTTGTTTTAAATTTATTTTATGTGCATTGGCGTGAAGGTGTCAGATCCCCTGGAGCTAAAGTTACAGACAGTTGTGAGCTGCCATGTGGGTGCTGGAATTAAACCTGGGTCCTCTGGAAGAGCAGCCAGTGCTCTTAACCACTGAGCCATCTCTCCAGCCGGTTTCCTAGTTCTTTTGGAAGGTCAAATTGGTATAGAATGGGGGGAAGAGTGGACCCCAGAGGCCGGTGACAGGCTGTGGGTATAGCTCCACACCACTTCAAAAGATAATATTCAAAAAGAAACCAGGTACAGCTGGTTGTGGCGGCGCATGCCAGAAGGATTTGCTGAAGGAGGTGGAGGTGGGAGGATCGCAAGTACGAATCCAGCTTGGTCTACACATGTTTGCCAGGTGGTGGCGCACGCCTTTAATCCCAGCACTCGGGAGGCAGAGCCAGGTAGATCTCTGTGAGTTCGAGGCCAGCCTGGTCTACAGAACGAGATCCAAGACAGGTGCCAAAACTACACAGAGAAACTCTGTCTTGAAAAACCAAAAAAAAAAAAAAAAAAAAAAAGAAAGAAAGAAAGAAAGAAAGAAAGAAACCAGGTACAGTGGTATAAGCCTGTAATCCCAAACTGAGGCAGGAGGATCCTAAATTCCAGCATAGCCTGGGCTATGTAACAAGACTCTGTGTCCAACAAACAAAATAACACATGAAAAAGCAAAAGGAAAACCACACAGCAGATGCAGGGCCCTGGGTTCAATCCCCAGCGTTACGAAAAATAGGATCAAATTAACAAAATAACAGAAGCGTGAACATAACTGGCAGTGAGGGGTTGGGGTGTAGCTGGTGTGTTTGGGGCTGAGACTTGCCAACAGAGGACAAGAAAGGCAAGAGGGAGAAAAAGAAAGGACTGTCCATCAACACCTCTTACATCAGGAGCATAATAGGAAACATGTGACCAGGTCTGGCTGGGAAATGCCACCACTGTGTCCCTTGGTTTTCCAGTGCATGACTGCACTGTCAGGCCACCCCCTGCATGTGGCAGGCAGGCCAGATACCTGTCATCCACTTCTCCTACAGTCTGTGGTAATGCTGGAGCTGAGCTAACTAGCATTCTCTTTTGTTACTTGGACCACTCGGGACACAGACGACAAGCGGATGATTGAGACACTTTTGTTCACCTTCTGCCAGCACTTAAAATGTTAGCGGCGCGAAGTAAAATCCAGATCGGAGGTTTTCCCTGAAAAAGTCAGAAGTTCTGCCACACCGGCGTCGAGTCTCACAAGAAACACAGGTGGGGGCTGAACAGCAGCTGTCCCCTTCAAAGGAGACACCCCATACCTCCATCCCACTGCCCAAGACAGCCGGCACCATTCATTCATAGGACGCTTGGTTCTGAAGGGGTTGGCATTTCAGGCCCTGGCTTGGGAAAGTCTTTAGACGTGCAAAATTCAAAGGTCATTAAGAATGGAGCCCAACCTTCCATCCCCAGAGGGGTCATCTGCCCTCTAACCCCAGGCAGCTTGTTTATGACCACACTTCACCCATCCGTCTCCTGTGCACGCTCTGACGTCTGTATATACTCTTTCCTCTCGACCCGCCCTTTACTGGGTGCACCCGGTCTAACACCAGGGTGATGCTTTCCGGCTGATGTTGTGATCCACCCAGCAGCCCTTGAAACATCTCACTCCGGAGCCCAAATCTTTTCCCGATTTGGCAGTGAGGGCAGCTTCTCAAACCGTGTGCTGGGATCCTAAAATAAGCTTTCATGTGAGTGCATCATACAAGTTCAAAGTCGGAATGTCTCTTTCTCTCTCTCTCTCTCTCTCTCTCTCTCTCTCTCTTTTCTTTTTAGGATCGGAAACTTTACGATGATGAGGCGCATATGCTGGCATGGTTACACGCTTCGCCATGCACAGCCTCTCTCTATCAAGTGCATCCGTGGGCCTCCTGCGCTCCAGGTTCTATGCCAAGAGCTTTATGGATTCCGCCGCTGCTGCTCCTCATTATAGCTGCTCAAGGTAAATGTTTTCATCACTGGAGGAATCACATCATTACTGAGTTTTGTGATGAGAAGCTGAACCTGGCCTTGTCTTCTCCCAGGCCTGCCAGGCCCCTTCCATTAAGGAGGGAGTTCTAAGACATAAAAATGGCAGCCGAGCACATGGAACAGATACTGAAGGACTGGATTGCTGTACAACGTCACCCGCCCCCCACAACACACCACCACCAATATGTTTTCAGTTAACTTCAAATACTACGAGGTGAATTTTACCTCGTGGTGATGAATTAAGAGTCCAGTTGCTTTTGTGATCCTGTGTGGAAACTCAGAATGTACCAAATACAAAAGACATCCGTAAATAGAATCATAAAAGGACAGGTCAGAAATGATACATCCCTCTAATTTAAGCACTTTGACCCCGTGGGTGTTTTTCAATGCATAGTGTCTTCTGATCCAAAGTGATGACAAATTCTGTGGCTGGCCGTGGCTGGCCGTGGCGCCAATGGTGCCATCAAGGTCCACTGTCTGGCAGACTGGGCCTAGGCCTAGACCCAGGTTGCAAGTTCCTGAAGGAGGTCAGTCGGTCAGTGAGCCTTGTAATCCCAACCTCTTCTGGCAAGAAAGGCTTCTTTTCAGTAACTGGATACCCTGAGTTATGTGATGACTCCCTTAGGGGTGTGACACACGAGGCTGAAGTCAGAGCGCCCACTAGGGAGGTGATGTCCCTTTGGCCTCTGCGGAATGTGCTGAAGGGCACCCGGGGCGGCAGTAACTGCGTATTGTCTTACCCATGGTGCAAACCCAGACTGCGCACTGCTCTCCAAAATAGACGTGTAGCTTTGCTGCGTTTGAGCAGCCAAAACTGCATTTAAAGGGCAAGGACTAGTCCTTTGACTTTAGAAGATGGGTAAGTGACATTGGGAAATTGGGACACTGTGGGTGCAACGCCCAGATCCTCTACTATAGTTTATACAGGGCCCTCAGCGTTCAAAAGGGGTGTGCCTTAGGGGGACAGTCTGTGGGTTTGCGTGGTTAGCAGAAATATTTCAAGTCTGTTCATGAGTGCTCAAGCGAGCCAGCTCCTTAAAAGTTTTCTGGCGTTGAAGCCTTTGACTCTAGTCAAGTTTGGGCCCAAGCGTGATTAGCTTTTTGGCTGCAGTTCTCAGCGTCGAGGACTCCTAGACCACCTAGGCCTTTTCAAGGATGGCCGTTCCTTCGGTGACCAAGACTCTGACCAGAAGCCCTGCCGTGTCAACCTCCCCCTTTCCTTTCCCCGACAGTGGCTCTCAAGCCCAGAACCCCACAAGCAACAGAAGTAGTGGGGCGGTTAGCTCAGCCAATCCCTGGCGACAATGCCCTGCACCCCAGGTTTGAGAAACGCTTCCCGGCTTGTAGATCCTGCTTCCCACCCTGGGGGCAGGACCGGGCTGGCTGGAGGGAGGCTTCTTCCTGGGGCGAGGCCTACAGTAGAGGGGCACGGCCTTTCCCGGGAGTTGGGGGTGCGGGGTGCGAGTGGGCCTTGGCAGGGCGGGGCCGGGGTCTCGGCTTCGGGGCGTGCTCTATGCCTGGGGGCGGGGCCTCGGCGGGGGGAGGGGCTTGTCAGGTCAGGGAGGAGAGTGTCTCTTACTGTGGTCGTCTCGGAGAGCGGAGTCGATGAAGGCGGCAGCCGAGTGGAAGAAGACGCTGAGGTCGAAGGTGGGCACGTCGTCGGCCTCGACGCCGTGGTACTCGATGGCCATGTCGCGGTAGTAGTCTGGCCCGGTGTCCACGTTCCAGCGGCCGTGCGCGGCGTTCAGCACGTGCGTGAAGCCCGCCTTCTGCAGCCCGTAGCGGTCCAGCGCTGTGGCCCTGGGGCAGGGAGAAGGGGCAGTCGGTGGACGCCGTGTGCTTCGGGGGCTGCACGGCTTTCTTCGCAGGACCCTGGGCCTTCCCAGTGCAAGGCGATTACAAGCAAAGACCCAAAGCGCCTCTCTTCCTGAGTCCCAGGCCCCTGGGCATAGTTTGGTTTTTTTCCAAGGATGAGAAAGCAATCCCCAGGAGTCGGCGCGGGCTGGGCATTTGCCCTTTCTTTCACTTTGGATCATTCACCTAATCCTGCAAGTCCTGGGGCTGGACCTGCCAGATCTCCCCAGAGGCAACTGAAATAACCTCTTCGTCTGGGTCTGCTTCACAGAGCCCCAGGAGACTCTTTAAAAGAGGCCTCTACTCTGAAGCCTCCAAACATTTATGGGTTTGGGGGTCATAGCTGGGAAAAACGGCTTCAAGCCGGTGGTTCTGTGGGAGGATTTCGTTGGAGTTGGATAAAATTCTTGAATGGATGCTGGCAGGGTTGGAGGACACTATGGATAGGGATTTAATGCTTTGTTGAACCCTTTGCCTAGCTGGGCTTGCCCTGTTCCAAGGACCTACTTTCTCCAGGTCCGAGTCTTGGTTTTCAGCAGAAGAATTTCTAGGAACAAAAATAAGGTTGCTTTGAGGTAGATAGAGCTAAACAAAAAGGCCATTTGCTAGAGTATCAGAGCAAACAATTATTCCTAGAGGGAGTGTTTGGGGGGGTGTCCAGGGAGACCTACTACAAGGGTGGGCATTTATTTACTACAAGGGTCAACAATTAATGTGGAGAGGAAGAGGGAGTCGAGGCAGGCCACGTCAAGGAAATAACCACAACCTAAGGTGTGGAGGCTGAGGGTGATGAAGGAAACCTTCGTGACTTCTGTAGTCGTTCATTTATCCCCAAGTAATGATGGAGATTCTTTGGTGTGCTGATAACAAATGAACAACAGGAGCCGTAGAGACACTAAGGCCACATGACACGATACAGCACGGCCATGAGACTACATTTGGAAGGGTGCTTGGCAGACCTCTGTGGGTAGGTGGCATTGGAGTAAGGCCGGAAACAGACTGGGGCGACAATGTTTCATCCAGGCTGAAGGAATGGGAAGGAATGAGTGGGCAGGGTGGGGGCGGGGTGGGCCCTGGGCCACCGAGAAGAGGGGTTTGGATATTACTCTGGCCAGAGATGGTTTAAGAAAGGGGTGAGCCTTGTTTAAAAGATCAGAATAGTTGATGTGTCGAGATGGATTGGAGGGGGATGAAAAGCGGAAGCAAGAAAGGTCTGCTGTTGTATAATCGAGAGAGGAAGGAAGCTTGGTCTGCGCTGATGTCTCAGCAGTGTGGGAATGGGGAGAGGAGGAGGGGATCAGACTGTATGATGGGGGAGAGAAGGAGGGGACCAGAGTGCATGATGGGGGAGGGAGAGGAGGAGGGGACCAGACTGTATAATGGGGGAGGGGAGGGGGGGGACCAGAGTGTATGATGGGGGAGGGAGAGGAGGAGGGGACCAGACTGTATACTGGGGGAGGGGAGGGGAGACCAGAGTGTATGATGGGGAAGGGGAGGAGGGGCCCAGAATGTATGATGGGGGAGGGAGAGGAGGAGGGGACCAGAGTGTATGATGGGGGATGGGAGGGGGGACCAGAGTGTATGATAGGGGAGGGAGAGGAGGAGGGGACCAGACTGTATAATGGGGGAGGGGAGGGGGGACCAGAGTGTATGATGGGGGGGGGGGGGAAGGAGAGGAAGAAGATTTGGAGGGAATATAGGCTTTAGTATTGGGGGCTTTAGTCCGTGTTTGAAGAGAGTGTGGTAGTCTGGCTTTAAGAAAACATGCCCTTCACTGGCACAAAGACCAGCTGTCGCGCAGGGAAGGGTACCGAGGTTTCAGACCTTTCCCCTAGCGCACCAGAGGAGCGGTTTGCTTCCTGTGAAGACCCAGGCTGTTCCGAGTTGTTCTGTCGCTGTGATAGATACTGTTACCAAAAGCAGCCTGGTGAGCACAGGGTTTATTTGAGTTTACAGGTTACAGTCCATCATCGAGGGAAGCAAGAGCTTAAGACAGGAATCTGAGGCAGGAACTGAGGCAGAGACCATGGGGAGCCCCAGGCTCACAATCAACTACCTTTCTTATGTAGCCCATCTGCCTAGAGCTGGTACCACCCACAGTGGGTTGTATGCCCACCCCACCCCCCACTCTCGCCATCAATTGGCAATCAGAAAAACACCACCTCAGACATTCCCATAAGCCAGGCTAATGCCTCAGTTGAGAGTCCTCCTTCCCCGGTGTGTCACGTCCACAACCGAGATGAGCCATCACACATAGCAAAACCACTGACAAAATGGTGTGGCAGAAGTAACCATATTGGACACAAGTAAGGACCGACAGCCTAGGCCAGGAGGAGCCTCGCATCAGAAACGTGCCAAGTCCTCTGCCAGTGTGCCTCCATCCCTCCTTAGTGCCCTTGTTCCCCGTGAGAGGCATCTCGGTAGTCAGTGTTTGGGAAAGGTTTGAGCACAGGCGTTGGGCCCGTGGCAGGGTTTTTCAAAGAGCCTATTGGAGCTGCTGTCTGTGTGTACCCCGGGTGTGCTAGCTCATGGCTTCAATCCCAGCACTCGGGAGACTGAGACAGGGGGATTGTTACATGTGCCAGGCCAGCCTAGACTAGAGTGAGGCCCGAAGCAAGCAGAAGAGTGGGGACCCAGTTTGGTGGCACACTGCAGAGGCAGGTGGACCTTTGTGATTTTGAGGCCGGCCTGGTCTCAATAGTGAGTTCCAGATCAGCTAGGTCTGCACAGTGAGATCCTGTCTCAAAAATGAGCAGGGGTGTGTGCGGGGGTGCTGGGTGGGGAGTTGGGGTCCCATGGAGCTCCCTGCCGCTGGCCCTTGGTGCTGGCATCCTGGATATAGAACACATTCCACTTTCATCATTTTCCTTCAAAAGGCCTGTTTTTCATTTTTTCCCTCTTGTCCCAAAATATGTATACAACAAAGGTTAGGCTTTGGGGGCACAGATCTGCACTCAATTAAAGCCTCAACTATAACACAGCCTGTCCTGCTGAGGAGCAATCAGCCTCACTTTGAGGTTGAGCTCAGTGGAAAAATTAAAATTAACTGTCCTTGACAGGAAGCTCTAACGCCCCCCCCCACCCCCACCCCCAGAAACACTTCATTCTGGGTTCAGCCACAGAGTCTCCACAGAATCAGAGGGCAGTTTTGAATAAGTTGCAGTTTGCCCTTCGCGGCTTTGGGGGTCAAGAATCAAGGGGAGATGGCACACGCTGAGTGATATGGCTCCACTCATCCCACCCAGCTGGCTTTGGTTGTGTCTGGGAAGAAAAGGGCTCATGAGAGCATTGGGTCCATCTTAGCCTCTGAGGTCCATCAGGTAGTTCTCAGGGCTCTATCTGATTGAGCTGGGGGCGGGGGGTGCGTGATGTCCTCATACACCACTCTTAGGGGGTCCTCTCAGCTGAGAGTCAGCTCGAGACTTTGAAAGCGCACCCACAGCAGAATGGGAAATCTGCAAATAAAAGCTAGTGTTTCCTAGATTGGACACTACCCAGCAGTTGTAGGAAGATAAGGCCTGTGAGGCAAGAGATGAGCCAACCTGGGCCTGCCCGAGGGCCTAGCAACAGGCACTGTCAGAAGTCCTGATCGTGCCTAGCCAATGAGGGGCGAATACGCAATGTCACGGGGTTGGGATGCATCCTGGGTGCTGGGAGAAGGGTATATAGGGCTCTTCCCATTGCTGAATAAACGAGCCTGCTGTTTGCCTTTTACCTGACTCCGGGTGGTCTGTGCCGTTGACTCTGCCCCTTCTCACTCCCTCCCCGGAGGGAGCCTTAGGACCCAGCAACAAGCAGTTACTGAAATGGGAGTGTGGATGGAGGGTCACGTCTGGCACTGTGTTTTTTGTTTGTTTGTTTGTTTTTGTTTTGTTTTTTTGTTTTTTAATTTGAGGGCCAGATACATAATTGGCCCAGATAGGTTATGTGGGAAAGGAACTAAGAAACCCTGGGATGTTTTGAGATGACACAGAGGGAGAAGACCATGTGTGTCTGTCTTCTGGGCCTGCCTCTGATCATGGGAAAAGACTTTGGGGAACCAACAACAAACAGATTGAGGAATTTACTTCCAGAGTCTGGACGATGAGGGACTGAGGGACTGTCTCAGTTAGTACAGTGCTTGCCAGGAAGACATGATCCCCAGCACCCACGCCAAAGCTAGGCTCAGTGGTGTGCTTCCAATCCCAGCGTTGGGGAGGCAGAGGCAGGATCCCTGTGGTTTGCCAGCCTGCTAGTCTAACTGAATTGATGGGCACTAGGTTCAGTGAGAGACCTTGTCTCAAAAAGTAAAGTGGAACAGATGGAGAAGGTCATTTGCTATCTGCCTATGGCCTACACATGTGCTTACAAGGTACTTTTCACCCTCCCACACATGCACACATACATAGAGCATACAGGTGCACACACATGAACATGCACATGCAAAATGATTTAGATGATAAAGGGGCCTCAATGTCTGGATATGTTTTAAAATCCTAGTTCTAAGTAATGTGTTAAAAAAAAAAAAAAACAACCGCATGCCATCTCCTTCCAAAAATAACATGCCCAGCAAGAATGTGGAAAATAAAACCCCACAAAAATTCACCAGTCTTTCTACCCGCTAAAGATAAAGATTATATTATTAGTATTTTGATGTAAGATCTTGTAGTTGTTTTTCCTTTACTTTTTTTTTTTTTTTTTTTGGTTTTTTCGAGACAGGGTTTCCCTGTGTAGCTTTGCGCCTTTCCTGGAACTCATTTGGTAGCCCAGGCTGGCCTCGAACTCACAGAGATCCACCTGGCTCTGCCTCCCAAGTGCTGGGATTAAAGGCGTGCGCCACCACCACCCGGCTTTCCTTTACTTTTTAAAAAAAGATTTATTTTGTGTATGAGTGCTCTATCTGCATGTACAACTTTATACCAGAAGAGGGCATCAGTTCTGAGCCACTATGTGTTTGCCGGGAATTG